CCCCGCCTCTGGCCTCCTGGCTGCACCCGTACCTGGATCCACACCACAGAGGCACAGGGGGTCATAAAGGCCATTGTCCTGAGCTCCAGAAGATAGAGCAGAAGTGAACAACAGAAAGAGGTCCTTACTCCTTCTAAGTACCCATCCCAAATGGTAACATTGCTATATTGAAGAGTTTATTCACTATAAACATATGTTGGGCTGGTCCTCGATTTTGATTTAATTAACAGAGTTATAGGTGATAGATTAATAACTACCACAAATTGTCATTGTCTAAGCTGTGCTTGATACTATTATTGCTGCTAATTGTATCACTTGGCCTAAGGTGTTGTGATTGATCTAATCAGTTATCCTTCCTGGTATAATGAAAATGAGATTGCCCCAGAGTCATTAGAGACTCAAAACCTAAAGACCAGCTATATCTTGAAGACACCTCTGAAAAGCAATCATTCCATAAGGGTTCTAAATACAAGCAAGAAAGATACTTACAATAAGCAATATGAAAGTATCAACCCAGGAGTTAAACCAAGGAATGTACCAACAACAAAAGTAGAAATGAGAAGACATTTAACCAAGGCACAAACTCAGTCTTCGTGCTCACCAAAGGAAAATTCTGGGGGAAACGAGGTGGAAGTCTGATAATCAACCACCTGGACACCCTGAACTGATAGCACAGGAAGTAACAAAATAGATGAATGAGGCTGTAGAAAAATTCAAAACAGAAATAATTTCCCAGATAACTACAGAGATGCTGAGCAGAATAAAAGACATGATTAGAGACTCTAGAACAGAAACAGATAAAAAAGTAGATGAGTTCAGGACCATGATGGAAACTATGAATGCCCAGCATAGGAAAGAAATGGAAATCATGAAACAGATTCAAACAGATATCCAGGAGATTAAAAATTCTATTGAAAGTATAGACAGTAGACTGAGCCAATCTGAAAACAGAATATCATATATAGAAGACAGGATGGTGGTCAATGACCATGAAAAGAGAGATCTCTTAAAAATAATGAGGGACCATGAGAAATCAATCCAACAGCTCCTAGATGACACAGAGAAGAATATAAGACTGATAGGTGCCCACAAAAAAGCGGGAGAAAGTACAAATGACACACAAAAAAACTGTTCACAGAATTAATGACAGAAAACTTCCCAAACACAGCCAAAAAATTTGACATACAGATAAGTGAAGCAAATAGGACTCCAACTAGCCATGATCAAAAAAAATCTACACTTAGACATATAATAATCAAGATCCTGGAAACCCAACAGAAGAACAAAATACTATAAGCAGTTAGAGAAAAGAAATAAATCACATGCAAAGGAAAGCCCATCAGAATCACAGCAGACTTTTCAACACAAACTCTCAAAGCAAGGAGAGCATGGAGTAAAGTATTTCAAGCCCTAAAAAAACAACCTCCAGCCTAGACTGATGTATCCTGCAAAACTATCTTTCAAAATTGATGGGGAAATAAGATACTTCCATGACAAAGAACACCTGAGAAACTTCATAAATGCCAAACCAGCACTCCAAACAATTCTAAAAACTATCCTAGGGAAAAAAAAAAAACTATCCTAGGAAAAGACAATGAAGGTCACAACTCCATGAGGCCCAACAGAGCAAATCCATCAGGCAAGGCAAGAAATTAAAAGGAGAGGAGGAAAAATAAAGAGCTAACAACAGGAAAATAGCATGACAATGACAAGTCAGTACATATCAGTTATAACCATCAATGTTAATGGCCTCAATTCATCAATCAAAATAAACTGACAGAATGGATTAAAGCAAAATCCAACAATACACTGTGTACAAGAAATGCACCTAGCTCAAAAAGAAACTCATAGACTGAAAGTAAAAGGATGGAAAACAGTTCTCCATGTGACAGGAACCCAGAAAAAAACAGGGGTAGCTATCTTATTTGCAGGCAAAGTAAATTTCAAACCAAAACTAATTAAGAGAGACAAAGAAGGTCACTATATCCTTGTAAAGGGAACAATCCACGAGGAAGAGATGACAATCATAAATATATATGCACCAAATATGAATGCCCCCAACTATAGAAAACAAGTATTTATGGACATGAAAAACCAAATAAGCACTAATACAATTGTAGTGGAGGACCTCGATACCCTATTGTCACAAATAGACAGATCATCTAGACAAAAAATCATCAACGAATTATTAGAACTGAACCAAGCTTTTCAACAAATGGACTTAATAGAAGTCTACAGAGTGTTCCACCCCACAAAATCAGAATATATATTCTTTTCGGCTACACATGGATCATTCTCCAAAATAGACTACATACTAGTTCACAGAACATGTTTTAGTAGATGCAAAGGAATTGAAGTTATCCCCTGTATATTATCAGACCATAGTGCAGTTAAACTGAAGATCAATAGCATAAGAAACCACAAGAACTTACAAACACATGGAAATTGAATAACACTCTCCTGGACAACCAATGGGTCACAGAGGAAATTAAAGAAGAAATTAGACAGTTTCTACAAGTAAATGATAATGCCAGTACGACATACAGGAATCTATGCAACACAATGAAAGCAGTTCTACCAGGGAAATTTATAGCAGTAAATGCCCATACTAGAAAAGCAGAGCGAGCTCAAATAAACAACCTAATGGTGAATCTTAAGCTCCTAGAAAAAG